CGCCCGCCCGCCCCTCTCGTCATCTCCCCTCCGCCTTCCACGACCGCCTTAAACTTGCCGTGCGCAGAGCCAAAGGGAAAGAACAAAATCCCCAAAAACCCCATGCTGGGAACGACAGCCCTGTCCTTCCAGGTATTCAGGCCAAAGACGCTGGAGACACCTCGCCCCCTCCCCCAGACCTCCCTCCCATCCATCGGCAAATCCCGTGTCTCTGCCTTAAACCCGTCTCTGGAAACCCACCACGGCTCCCCGCCTCCCGCGGCCATCCGGTCCTGGCCACTGCTTTCTCTTGCCTGGGTCATCGCAGCTGCCCCCTCCCTGGTCTCCCTGACTCTGTCCTCGCCCCTCTCTAACCTAGAATCGATGCGGGAGCCAGCCTGATGCTGTTGGAATCTTCACCGGAGCCTGGCCTGCTCTGCTCAGAAGCCTCCAAAGGCATCTTTTGGGCTCAGAATAAAAGGCCGAGCCTTGCCAGTGACCCCCGACCCCTCCGTGACCTCTCAGCCCTCACCTCCCACCCCCCTCCTTTTCCCAGTGCACTCTGCTTCCCAACACTGCCCCCCCCAGCCCCCAGGACCTGTGCTCCACCAGTCCCTGGGCCTAGACTGTTCTCACACTAACATCCCCCATGGTTCCTCCTCTGGCTTCCTCCAGGTCTTTGCTCAAAAATCACCTCCTCAGGGAGTCTCCTCTGACTACTCTCCCTAAAATCCAAACCCCACCCCAAGCCCCAACACCTAGTATCCCCTTTCCTGGCTTTGCTGTTTTCTCATTAGCCTTCCTCACTACCTAACATGCTGCTTGTTTTTCTGATTACTTTGTTTCTCCCACTAAAGCATAAGCTCCATGAGGGTAGGGGTTTACATCTGTTTGTTTACCACTATATCCATAGGGCCTCACCCAGGGCTCAGCACTCAGTAGACGCTCACTGAATACAAGGTGAATGAATGAAATGTAAAGATAGAGAAAGACTAAGAGACAGAAAAACAGATACGCAGAGATGGAAAGAGACCAACAATGAGAGAAAGAGACTGGAGAAAGAGGAAAGTCTGTGGAAAAAGAAAAGTCGCTAAAAGAGGCAGAGGGACCTAACTGGCAGTGTAGAAACAGAGGAGACGTGGAGAGAAAGCTGGAAATGGGAAGAAATGGAATGTGACCCAGGAGAGACAGAAGCAGAGCAAGGGTGGTGGGAGCTACAGGTTGGATTGGGAAAAGATCAGATAGAAGAGGAGGGAAGGAAGGTTGTAACAGAAACCTTCTGGGGAAGAAGCTCCTTGCTTCCTCTCTAAAGCCCCTATACATAGTAAGTCAGTCCTGACTATGTGCCCAGCTCTGTGCTGGGCATTGAGGGGGAGGGGGGATTTAATTTAAGGACTTCTGCATTATATAATTCTAGAGGGTAGCATTCCCATCATCATCTGTCTGAACAGTCCTCTCAAGAGTTGTACAATGCACAGCCTGTACACCCTTACATGGCAACCCTGGGTGAGGAGACACACAGATGCTATCCTGCTTAACTGCCCATAGGCTCTCAGACTGGAACATAGCCCAGGAGTCCAGGAAGACTTCCTGGAGGAGGCAGGAATTGAACTGGGCTGGGTACCTGAGTCTGGTCAGGTGTAAATATGAGGGGAAGAACATTCCAGGTAGAGGAACAGCTTGTACAGATGTGTGGAGGCAGAGGAGTGGTGGATGCACCTGGACAAGAGCAGACCATGATAGCTCTAGTGGGCTGGGGAGATGAGGCACCAAAGTGGAGGCCGGAGGGGCCTCACAGGAGGCTGAGGAGCTCAGACTGTCCAGCGCTCAGGACGCCTATGTTCTTCCCACCACTCTCGCTGCCAAAACCATCCTGCCACTGCCTCTGAACTCCTCTACCTCCCTTCCACCCTGGCTGTAGCAGGCTTTAAACATTCCCCTTGGCCTCTCACCTGGCCCCAGACCTCTCACCGGAGGGCACTGAGGGAGGGCACTGTCACCCCTGTTTGTAGGAATTTGAGGCCAGAGAGGGGAGGAGGTTTCTGCAGCCTCTCCCAGGATTTAAGCACCAGGAGTGGAGCGAGTCCTCCACCCCAGGTCAGTGCTCCCGCCTGCCGCCCTCCCCTCCAGTACCGCTCTCCACGCCTCCTCCCACCTTCTCCGCCTCCCTCCTCTGGTTCCCTTCTCTCTTGCTTTTATCTGCACTGAAAGGGCCAACTTTGAAACCTGCTTCTCACCTCCTTTCATCTCTCTGCACTGGCCCTTCCCTGGGCCTCCTCAGATGTGGAGGCAGTGAGGAGCTTGAGACCAGTCCAATTTAACACCACAAACATTTACCCAGCTCCTCCTCCGTGCCAGGCCCGGAGCCAGGCCCAGGAACACCAAGATGACTCAGCCAAGGACAGAGAGGGGACGGAATGCCCCGATTGTGGGGCACAAACATGGGGACAGAAGGCCAGTGAGGGGCTGTGGGAGACAGGGCAGAGGTCCTCGTTCCAAGGGTCATGGGCTCAGGCACCAACTCTGCACTGAGTTGTGCCCAGAGCCGTTCCCTGCAGTGAGGAAACATGATAAGACATGATCTCTGTCCCCACAGAGCTCGCCTTCTCCTGGGGGGAGACAGTCAGGGGTTAAATGGCATGGTGGCTGTTACAAGCCGTGAAGAAAAGAGATAGAGTGACAGGGTAAGGAGGGACTGGGGCCACCAAGGGCCACTTTGAATTGAGCGGTCAGAGAGGTGATAATGAGCTGAGATCAGAATGATCCACGCAAAGGTGTGGGGAGGAGCATTCCAGGTAGAAGGAACCGCACGTGCAACAGTCCCGAGGCAGGAACAAGCTTGGTGTATCCCTGGAGTTGAAGAAGTGAAGTGGTGTCCTGGTAGACTCGACCTGGCACAGTTTGCAGGGCAGAGTAGGCAGCTGGGAAAGCAGAAACGCACATGGTACAGAAAGATGTTTCTGAGCCTCTGTGCTAGGGAGACTGGAAGGTGCCTGGTATTTTACATTTGCCCCTCAGAGGGTATTACACTTATTTTACAGATGAAGAGACTGAGGGCCAGAGAGGGGAAATGACTTGGTCCAAGGCCACGGGGCTCCACAGGGGAGGGACTGGGGTTTGACCCCTGGCTGGCTGCTTCCTGACACCAGTCTCCTGCCATTCACCCCTGCTTCTCACTCTCTTTGTGGTTCGTGCAGTGCCTAAATTGTGCAGTGCCCTCCCCTGTGCACGGGCCACAGAGATAGTCAGATGTGGACCAGTGGGAAGGCTGGGCCCCTGTGGGAACGAAGCCAGTGACAGCTCTGGGACCCAGTGGGCTGGGGCTGAGGCAGGGGCTTGAAAAGCTCCAGGGAGGGGCGAGAGTTCTGCACTGGGGAGGGAGCCGAGCACAGGTTTCCCTCAAGTGGCCCCTAAGGGGGGACAAAGAGGATGAGGCTTGGAATGAGGGGAGTGTGTCCCAGGTTGGTGTGATGGTGAGGGGCAGGTGGCAGGAAGAGAATCATGGAGCCGGGAGGTTCAGGAGCAGGAAGGTCAATGAGATGCGCTCATGTCGGCATTGGGGGGGACAGGGACAGAGGAGCACTTGGAGACAGGCTGTGAATGTCAGGTGAAGACATGGGACTTTATCCTACCAGCAGTGGAAAGCCTTAGAAGGTTTTGTTGATTTATTTAGTGGAGATGGGGGTCTCACTATGCTGCCTAGGCTGGTCTTGAACTCCTGGGTTCAAACGATCCTCCTGCCTCAACCTCCCAAGTAGCTAGGACTACGGATGCATACTTCTGTGCCCAACTAATTTGAAACAAACAAACAAAATTTTTATAAAGATGAGGTCTCACTATTTTGCCCTGGCTGGTTTCAAACTCCTAGCCTTAAGCAGTCCTCCTGCCTCAGCCTCCTCAAATGCTGGGATTACAGGTGTGAGCCACTGTGCCTGGTCCTTAGAAGGCTTTAGAGGGAGGAACATATTCGGATAGGCCCACCTCTGGACTAGGCAGCCTTGCAGATTGGCCACTTCTGACCCCAGCCACTCCTACCAGCCCCTCGCTCCTTCTTTGAACGCCACAACAGGAAGGTCCCCACTGGACCACAAGGAGCGAACACTTCCTTCCCACCCAGCACCCTACAGTATGGCACAGAAGCAGAGGAGGCTCAGGTTCCAATCCCAGCTCACTTGTAGAACTTTGAGCAAGTCACTGCACCCCCCTCTGAGCCTCAGTTTCCCCATCTCTAAAATGGGCACCATGATAGTACCTGCCTCATTCACAAGTATTAAATGTCTACTATGTACCAAGCTCTGTGCTCAGTGCTCCCAGGGTCCGAGGAAAGATTAAGTGCTCGGCGCATAGTAGGCCCTCAGGAAATGGTCATTACCCTCTCTCTTGGTGGATCTGTACACCTGGTTCCCAATTCCTTCTGCAGCTGGTACTGACCACGCACACTTTCCCAGGTATCGTGTGCAGGTGTTTGAGCATACACCTTAAAGGGGGTCACACATGGGGGGAGTGAGCAGAGAGGAATCGCTTGGTCAGGACTGCTGGGGGGAGGCAGCCTGCTTTGTATTTGCAGAGATCCACCCCTACACACACACACACACACACACACACACACACACACACACACACACACACGTAGCTGGGGGGGCTGCTGCACGTGTGTTCACAAGCCCACATGAAGGAACACCAGGAAGCCTGTCCATGCAGGGGCCTCCAGCCTTTCCTGTTTATCATGCCGCATGCATAATCCATGCACATATTCATGCAGAGAAAAAGCACACACATACCCCAGCCTCCCCATTTTCTCCACCCTAACCTCGGCAACAGCAGCATGTTCCTAGCATGTGGCCATGGCAGCAGGGGCACCTGGCAGGCTCCTCAGGAGGGTGCCCTTAGACCTGGGCTCTGAACAGACATGGGAACTTGGCTGTGCTGCTAGCCAGCCCTGTGGGACCCAGCCTTCTGACTTCTCTGAGCCTCAGTTTCCTGTCTGTAAAATGGGAATGATGACAGCACCTGGGAGGGTTTGAGGAGCTCAAGCAGCCCTCACACAAGCCTGGCACAAAGTCTTGCTCGACAAATAAAAATAAGAGCAAATCCATATAGCAGGCGCCATTGTAAGTGCTTTATTGGTAGTCACTTGTCTAAACTTCACAAGCAGCCTGTGACGTAGGTATTGTTATCGCCATTTTTAAGATGAGGAAACTGAGGAACAGAGAGGTTACATGACTTGTTCAAGGTAACACAGCTAGGTTTCAAACCCAGATCATCAGATGTGCACTCCTAGCCACATCCCCAGACTCCTGTGCATGTGTGAGCGTGCAAGCGCACACACACACACACGCACATACACACATTCGCATTCTCCCCCCCATCCCATCCACATCTGCTCTGGTCTCCCTTGCTGCCTGCCCTTCAGGTCCTGGCTGACCCAATGACAAGGAGAACTGCAAAATGTAGGCAGAACCTTCTAGACCGTCAGCTGCCACCTCTCCTTCTGGGACTGCTGATGTTGCTCAGGGTCCAACCATGGCACCCCACCTCCAGGCACATAGGTCACACGCTGGGCTGGGGGGGGCTCCTGTGTGCCCCCTGCCAGAAATTTCTGTGTCACAATTAGAATCACAACCGGTCCCATTCACGGAGTAATTTTCCTGGAACTCCGCTGAGCACCTCATATGCATCCATCCTCCCAACAATTTACAAGGTAGGATTATCATCTCTGTTTTGCTGAAAATTAAGGCTCAAACATGGAAGTGGTTTGCCTGGGGGTGATGTGGACCTGGACTCTGCTCTCCACATGAGATGCACCGCACACACACACACACCACTCACACATTCACGTCACACAAACACACACGTTCCACCCACAGCACGGACCAGACACACAACTCACGCACGCACCCTCACGTGAGGCTACAGGCTTCCCACCCCACCCCCGCCTCGCCAGGCCACAGTCCCAACCACACACTGTGTTCCTCCCACCCTTCCTTCCTCCCTCCCTCCCTCCCGCTCACTCTCTGGTTCCCTGAGCTGGAACAAAAACACCTGGGTTCAGCCAGCCGCATTGACCCACAGCCCCAAGTCTTTAGCTGGTTAATGGTGGGTTCCCGCTGCCCCCCCCCACCATGGCCTTGGGAACAGCTGCCTCCACTTAGATTCAGCCCCTCCTTTCCTTCCAGGAGGGAACAAAAGAGAAAAACATGGACAAGGAGGAGGAGGCGGAGGAGGAGAGAGGTCTGAGCCGAGAGAGGAGGAGAAACAACCAGAAGGCAGTTGGCATCCTCCCACAAGCCCTGCCAGCCCTGACACAGGGCTCAGGAGTCCGGGCTGTGTGTGTCAGGACTCTGGCCCTCTCCTGGCCTCTGTCCTCCCACCTGTAGGATGGGAGGAGGGCTCTGAGATTCCTTCCAGCTGAGCCGACACTCAGTCCCTTTCCACCTCCTTTGGACCCAAACATCTGGCAGGGCCAGGCTGGAGGCAAAGGGGCCCTGAGGCTTCATGCGCTGAGACCCTGGATGGTCCAACAAGCTGCAAGGAACTCTAGGGAGAGAATCCCACATCTCTACAAATTCCAATTCTGTGACAGAGTCACAGTGCCGCCTGGGGCAGGGTCATCGCTAGTCCATACAGACCTTTGTGTAAATAAGAAACAGGCCCCCCTTTGAGAAGACACTTCCTCAGCTAGGACACATGGCTTGACAAGCAGAAGGCCAGCTGGAATGCACCCCTGCTTCCACGCCTGGTCCACTTGTGCATGAAGCAACCTGCACAACCATACTTGGTAGCCCTAAGCTGGACACATTTCCTCTCAATGAACCTCAATGTCTTCCTCTGCAAAATGGAGGAGACCACATCAGCCTCACAGGATGCCAGGCAGTGACCTCGTCTGTCTCGCCTGCCACTCCATCCCCAGGACCAAGCACAGACCTGCAAGAGAAGGCCCTCAGTGCTTAGGGCATAAGGAACTAACGGAGGAACGGCTGGAGGGAAAGCAGCCTACAAACTGTTAATGGAGGGAGAAGTTATCATTTTAGGTCTGAACCTCCCACCCCACAACCTTTCTCCCAGGTCTGTGGGACCCAAGATAGTCAGGGGCAAGAAGGATAGGGGCTTGGCAGCAGAACAGAACATTAAACTGGGGTTCAGGGAACTGGCTTTTAACGATGCCCATATGCACAGCACTTTACAGTATGCCACATCTCTTCACCTCCACAGCAGTAAATATGAAAAGAATAAAGGCTGTCAGGTCTGCCCAGCCTCTCGGTAACTCACACCAGTGTGTGAATCACCCCCTTTTTCTGATGAACAAACTGAGGCCAAGGAGAGACTTGCCCAAGGTCACACAGATAGAATACGTGGCTGAGGGTTCAAACCCAGCTCGGACTGCCTTCAGACCTGTCCTGGCCCACTGGGTGTCATTATCCCCGTTTCACAGAGGGGTAACCTGAGGACCAGAGGGGTTTGGCAGTGCAGCGGAGGCCCCGCTGACCTGCCTTCTCAGGCCTTTGGGCCCCCAGCGGGCAGTGTCCTGGTGTCCTCACCTCCCCCAGACTCAGTTTCTGCGGGGGAAAAGAAAGGGCCTTTTTCCTCCTGCCTATGGGAGGGGCCCGGTGGCTGGCGCGGCCCCTCCCTGTGAGGCTGCTTTGTCCTGGCTGCACAATGAGCCCTTGCTTGGCATTCGAGGCCTTTGTCGGCCGCGCAGCCTCGCGCGCCCCCACCCACGTTATCAGCGCCGGGAAGCGGCGGCCAGCGCTGGCGGGGCCTCTCTGGGCCGCCGCCGCCCGAGACATGTGTTGGACACGGGCCTTTAAGGCCTGGAGCCGCCACACAAAGGCCCGGGAAGAAGGCGGAACAAAGGGCTTTTTCACGCAGCAACTGAAAAGCTGCAGATTAGCTCGCTCGGGCTGCGCAGGCGGGAGGAGCCTGTGGCCACGGCACCCGCGCGGGCCCGTGTCCCTGGTCTGCAGCCTCCACTCCGTGGCCTCCGCAGAAGCCTCCGAACGCCACAACTGACCCCCCTCTCCTGCTCAAAGCCCCTCCCTGGCCCCCAGCCCACGTCCACTCCTGAGCTCTGCGCCCACGTGTCCCGGCGCCCAGCTCTCACAGCAGCTGTGGGGGCAGTTCGTGAGGTCCACTGCCCCACTGCGGAAGCTGAGGCTCAGGAAGGTTGAAGGCTGCCCATGGTCACACGGCAGGTCCCCGTGCACCCGAGATGCAACCCAGATGGCGTCCCACTCCTTGTGGGCAAGGGCTTCCCTGCCCTGTGTGTCCCCGGCAGGCGGTCCCTCTGGCAGCGAGGTGGGGGGACGTGGCCTGGGCTCCAGCTGGCCCCGGGGCACTTTCGGTCAGCCCCGCCCTGCCTCCCGCAGGTACGCCATCGACCGCGAATCGGATTTGGACCAGATCTTCGATATCGATGCGGACACAGGCGCCATCGTGACGGGCAAGGGGCTGGACCGCGAGACGGCCGGCTGGCACAACATCACGGTGCTAGCCATGGAGGCGGGTGAGCCCAGGGCAAACGTGGAGGAGAGCAGCAACAGCTGAGGGGCGGGGCCATTGCTGTCAGTCAAGGCCCACGGGTGTGGGGCCAAAGTTTGGGGCGGGCAAGCAGTAGGAAACTGGTCAAAGATCCTGCAGGGGTGCAGGTGGGGGCAGACGCTGATGGGCGGGAGCAAAGATCCAGGAGGGGTCCCAAGTCGAGGAGCTGGGGCGTTCTACCTTCGTCATTTATTGAGCACCTACTACATGCCAAGCCCTCACAGGGGAGAACTAGCCAATCAACAAACAGAGAAAGTGTGTACACAGCAGGTGGAGTGAGCCGGGCTCGGTGGCTCAGCCTGTAATCCCGCGCCTTGGGAGGCTGAGGTGAGTGGACTGCCTGAGCCCGTGGGTTCGAGACCCGCCTGGGCAACTTGGCGAGACCTCACCTCTACAATAAATTAAAAAATTAGCCGGGCATGGTAGCGCGCCTGTAGTTCCAGCTACTCGGAAGGCTGAAGCGGAAGGATCGCTGGAGCCCAGCAGGTTGAGGCTGCGGTGGCTGGGAGGATACCACTGCACTCCAGTCTGGGCGACCAAGTGAGACTCCAACTCAAAAAAATAGTAATAATAAGTGGGGTGATGGCTAAGACGAAACAGGGACAGAAGAATGCCGGGAAAGAGGCTTGGGAGGCAGAGGGGCATTGTTTCTCTCAAGCAAAGGCTGCTCTAGGAAGAAGATATTTCAAGAGACCTCAATAAAGTGAGGGAGTCCTGCTGACATCTGGGAAAGAGTATCCCAGGCAGCGGGAAGAGCCAGTGGCAGTCTGCTGAGCGTGTTGGAGGAACAGCAAAGAGGCCAGTGTGGCTGGTGAGCTGCAGCGTGGCCAGCCGATGTAGGGTCTTTGGACTTGACTCCAAGTGAAATTGGGGTCACTGGAGGGGTTTGAGCAGAGGAGGGACCCTGTCTGGTATGATACCTCTGGCTGCTGCACTGAGAATAGCAGAGGCCTGACGGGAAGTGTCCCGAGGTGTGCTTAGCTAGAAGCTAAACGTAATAGTCCCAGGGAGATAGAATGGTGCTGGCCTGGCCCAGGGCAGAAGCAACAGAGGGATAGGAGGAGGAGAGATGTGGTCGGCTTTGACTTGGAATGCAGGTTGAAGACAGAGCCATCGGGACCTGCTGATGGTCTGGCGTGCTGGTGAGGGATGGAGAGAGGGTCAGGGTGACTCCAAGGTGCTGGCCTGAGTTTCTGGAAAAACTCATTGTGTGTGCGTGTGTGTGTATGTCACAGACAGTTTGGTGCAGTGGGGAAGGTGAGCTGTGAGAGAAAAAGAGGAAACCCCGAGTCCTGGGGTCCAAATGAGTAAGGCCACGGAGGTGAGGAGCTGAGAGCGCAGGGATTCATGGGGCATGGGGAGAGGGGACTGCCCCAGGCTTCCGCCATGCCCAAAGCAACATTACCACCATCACTGCCTCCACCTGCTCCCCGGCTCCTGCCCTGTCAGCTCTCAAGGTCTCAGGAGTCAAGCAAGCTGCCAGGAAGCAATCATGACAACAGGAATACCGTTGAGTCTTGGAGCCTGGGGCAGGAGGGCAAGCAGCATCCAAGCTGCCTCTGCACACCCTGCCCCAGGCCCCTCCTGCCCCAGCCCCTTCTGCCAGCCCTCCTCCTCCTCCCCTAGCTCCCCCCTCTGCTTTCCAAGCCCCACCAGCCCCTTCCAGGGCCAAGGAAGTCCCTAGGCTGAAGTTCCCTTGCCTCTTTCAACTGCAGTTTAAAAGAAAATACAAAGCTGGCTCAAACCTCAGCGCCTGCTGCTCTGGAGCCTTTGAATTCACTCCTCCGCTGCATAAAAAGGAGATAACAAAGGTGGCTGGAGAGGAAGTGGCGGCTGGACTGGGGGAGAGAGCTCCCCCCCTTGCTCCTCAGACCTGCTCCCTGGGTAGCAACTGGGGTTGCAGGCTTTGGTGGCCACTGGGCACAGACACCTCCTCCTGCCCACAAATGCCTGCCCCCGGCGAGCCTGTGCCGGCCTGACATCCCGCCACTGGCGAGACCCCTTTTGGGCTAAGCATTGTGCTTCTACCCAGTGGGTCTCTTCCAGAAAGCAGCCTGAGTAGCAAGCGACGTCTGTAATGCTGCCATCTCACAGGAGAAAGGAGGAGGGCCATTCTTCCACTGGCATTTTACAATGCATATTCTGGCTAGATGCCTCCCAGCACATGCTTTCTTGATGCGTGATCAGTAGCACAATCGTCACCCATTTTACTGATGGAAAAACCGAGGCTAGGAGATTTAGGATACTCACCCAAGGAGGTACAGTGGCAAAGCTGAGATTTGGAGCAGGTGTGTTCGGTCCCCACTATGACGCGGCTGTGTGGCCTGCCTTTTCCTGGCACCCTCTGCCCTCTGAACCCCACCCCATCCCACCCACCGACCCCAGCTACTGACCGTGGGGGGTGAGTCTCTGAAAGTCAAAGATTGGCCACCCGGCTGGAGGCCTCCCTCTTAGAGCTGCAGACCCCAACCCTGCCCAGTCCTCACCTGGGATATTAATCATTGGTTCCCCTTTGCAAGTCCTGATGGGGCATTAGACAGGATCAGGCCTGGGAAGACATCGGCCTCGTGGCTGGCCTTAATAGGTGCTCAGTTAAGAGCATGCATTGGTCTTAGCTCTGTGCCAGGCCCCTTGCAGTGATGAGTTCATGGAACCGTCACCCCTAAGAGTGTCGATTCTGCTATTATCTTCAACGTGTGGATGAGGAAACCTTGACTCAGCGAGGTGAAGACCTCTGTTCAGATTCTCAGTCCCAGCCTGACTCCAGAGCCCAGCTCCCGCAGCTGTCCCTCCAGTCCTGTCTCCTTGGTGCTGGCGCAAAATCAAGAGCTTTCACAAGTAACCCACCCACTCCACCTTCTCACCGTCTCTGTGAGATGAGGACAAAGTTAGGACCCCCATTTTACAGATGAGGAAATAGAGGCCCAGGGAGGAGCAGCGATGGCCCCAGGATCATGGAGCAGGCCCACGCAGGGCCAGGCTCGCCTGGCACCTGCCTGAGCCCTGAGCACAGTGCCAAGGGGCCCGCCCATCGGGCGCCTGCCCTCCCGCTGAAGCAGCCATGTGGCTTCCTCAGGAGCACAGGGGAAGCTCCGGGTCAGGGTGCCCCCGCCTGCTCCCAGGCGTAACAAACACAAGGTGACAAGAATCAGAGGGGAAATATTTATACAAGGTAGCGGAACCTTGTGGGAGCCTTGTGAGTACCTGGGAGAATGTTGCTCTCAGCCGGGAGCCGCCGCCTGTCAGCCCGGATTACCTCAAAGACTCCTGGGCCACTTAGTATGCCGGCTCCCCTCTCCCCAACTTCTGAGTCATCCATTCTGCCCATGCAGACGCTCCTTCCACTGACATTATCTTTAACGTTTTGTAATCATGAAATATTAATGACCGATATTGAATTTAAAGTACAATTTGTGTCTGAATCCTTCGGTGGAAAGGGCAGTTGTAAAGGGACAGTCTTCAAAGAGCCGGGGGATGGAGAGTGGGGGGAAACATGGAAAGTCAGCTCTGGGGGGGGGGGGCACCAGGGGGCTGCATCCAGCCACCTCCTCCAGGGTCATTAAGCCCCAAGTTGATCTGGAGGATTAATATCTAGACTCCAAGACAGCAAAGGGTTAACCAGATTCACTATCCGCCTCCCATCTGGGTCACCCCAGGCCAAGCCACACCTCCCAGCACCCCATGTTCCGCTTCATGCCACAGAGCACGCGTGATGGTTTCTATGTGCATCTGTGTATTTCGTGAATACTCAGGAAACCGTACCTGTCTGCAGCCTTGGCACAGGCCAGTCACACAGCAGCTGTGTGTAAACAGCGACTCGGTGGACAAATAAGTGTGCCTGGGTGCCCTGACCCCTCCCCTAAGTAGGGTTGTATGTTGGGGGAGAACCACTCCTAGTTGTGTGATTCACAGTTGCGTGGGCTTGGACGGGTCACTGCCCACCTTGTTGCCTCGGTTTTCTCATCTATAAAATGGTGACAATACAACTTACTTTATTGGATGGCCGTGAGGATAACAGCTATTAATAGCGGCAGCTTCTATTTATGTAAAGCTTACAATATGCCAGACACTGCGCCGCATGCTTTATAGAAAATGCAGGTCCCCCGGGGATTAGAAATAATGGATGTCATGTGCCCAGCACGGTGCCTGACACACAGTAGGCACTATTAATAGCTAGAGAAAGGATCTGAGAGAGAAGGAATGCCAGAGAGATGGACTCCAGCCCCCTCTCTCCCCCTGCTTTGTAGCTGAAGAGACTGAGGCCAAGGAAGGAAGCAGTTGTCCAAGTCCTCCCATGAGGCTTTCTGATTCCCAGTCTGTGCTCCTCAGAAGGACCAAGGAGGGGATTGAGGGGTCCGGGGGAAGGAGGGGGGGCAAAGGGTCACTGTAGGGTTTGAGCAGCAGAGAGTGTCCCGTGTCCTGTGGGAACCTCCCCCTCCCCCTCCCCAGCTGCCCCCTCAACCCCTGTACTCTCATGCAGTGTTTTCTGCCACTTGCCACCCACCCCAGCCTAGACTGGGCTCTGGGGTCTGGGGATGATCAAGAATAGCCACTGACCTGGGAGCTCACGGGGGGCAGGGGAGAGACCCTAGACAACCAGTGACCACACAGAGGGAGGTGAGGGGGCTGTGGGGGTTCCCGAGGGGCAGGGAAAGACTTAACCACCCAGTAAGTAGCAGAAAGCCCTACCTAGGGGAAGGGACCTTTGAGTTGGATCTCCAAGGCCAAGGAAGCCTTTCAGGGCAGAAAGGGAGTCGGGTGCTTCAGGTGGAAGTGTGCCTCCTGGATGCTTGCAGCCCACTGCCCCTCACGAGAACAGAGAGACTAGGGTGGGGTCAGAGTCTGGCGCTGAAGGGTCGGGGGCAGGTTAGGAGAGGGCAGAGTGAAGAACTTGGCTGGGCCTGCACAGAAGGGGCCTGGGTGTCCTGTGCTGAGCCAGGTAGGTGCCAGGGAGCCAGTGCAGGG